CACAGAACTGTAAGCAGCTTTTTAGACCAACTTCCAGTATGACTTGCAATCTTTTACTTCGTCAGTAAGATCGATGTAGAACTTGCATTTAGCAACTCTAACATCGCGCGTGACCCTATTTCTTAATGAGCGATACTTAGCCCACAGTTCTTGATTTTTGGATTGTTTTGCTTTAAGAAGAGTGTTAAATATCTACATTGGGGCGTTTAATCCAGAGTTTCTCGAATATGACCTGAAATCTATCAAAATCTATCATATTTTCCTGATTTTTCTTTATTGTTTCATTGAATCCCTATTCTATTTCAATAAACTGTTCAGCAATATATGAATATCCTAACCAAGTCCTAAGTATCCTTCATTCAGAGCTTTCTTTAGAGAGCAGATAAGATACGACCACCTTTTCGAGTTAGATGGAGGCTTTTTATCTTTTTATAAGCACGCGCTTGTCTCATGGAATTTTTTTGAAGCCATGATGACGTTAATCGCTTTATTAGTTTCTCGGCCTCGGATATTGCACTTCTAGTGTTTAGACTGGTTAGCTGAACTCACTAAAGCGTTGCTGGCTGAATTTAATTTCTCAATCCGGCATTTCCCTCGCCAAGTTTCAAAAGACAAAACACTTGTGCAAACTGTGTACAATTTCAAGTACGCGGAGAGGAAAGGAGAGAAACTACAATGATCTCTGTCATGGTTCGAACCCCAACCTCTCGATCGCAGGTCCAACGCGCCAGACACCGGTTATAGTAACGATAAGGCCACAATATATCGTGTAGATATTTGTTGATTTTCCCCTTTTATATTGCATAATTATAAAATGCTTACCAACTGTTTACAATTATTATCAAGAAAGAGCTGTCAGACAATTACTCAAACCCTCAGCGCGAGCAAACCTTCACATTCAATAAAGGGAGGGGCAGCGCCATCCCCTCTCGCTTACATGTACGATTAGTCCACATTAGATATCATGATGCATGACAGTTTTTATTCTTTCCGTTAGTAGAACGTGATACGTTACACTGTATAATCTTCTCAGTGTATTGGCCCTTTAGTTGCAACCCATGATTAGTCACGGCTCTTGGACGTCTCTGCCAACCTCTGTGCCAGCTGAGTGAACCGTGAAATGTTCCAAGTGCAAACAAGAAAAAGTCATAAGGTTTACCGTGCATAACCTCATTAGACGGTTTCCCAATTAATCAAGTTTCATGTTATTGTTGTTAAAAAAAATAAAGAAAAAGATACAGAAAGAGAACAAAAAAAATTAAACAAACGCTTTACCCAACCAATCAGGGTTTTGAAAATATGAACTTCCCTAATTGTGGAAAAAGCCCGCAATTTTGTCCCAGAAAGGTAAAATATGTATCGCACTACTTCTCGCGATGTTTGTCGCATTCAACGTTTCATTAAAGACGCGTAATCTTTTTTTCCACGCGTTCGGTTCAGTTTCAACCAAGTTAACCAGTTATTGTAACTACTAATCATGTATTTGCCACAATGTTACGGAGGCGTTAGAGAGGTAACTTTTAAGTTAATTTCCAGAGTTTGTATTTCAGTTTGTTTTGAACCCTTTTAGGGTTTCGTATTTTAGATCAAATTGTGTCATTTGACAGAAAAAACAAATTAACAATAAAAACAGAAAATAAAAACAAAAACAAAATAAACTGTTAAAAAAGTACTATGCAAAAATACATCAAAAATCAAGAAATTATGCCAAAATTTTTTATACCACTTAGTTGTCCAATCATTGTGGGTCATATGTATCGTTATGCTGCTTACATTACAGTGGTAACTTCTAAAGCTGTATATAATGAAGAGTGTTTATTTTCCCAGCTGTAGGTGCGAGTTACATGTGCGTAACATTTGGTTCTCAACAAGATAGAAATATTTAGCAAAGCAGGAAATAAATTTCTATAGAAAATGAAAGGGATCTCGCGCCTTCATTGTGCCTTCACGTTTCCCGGTCCATGGTTGAAGGAGTCAGATTTTAAAATTTAGTTATTAGCTCTTAAAAGGCACGAAACGTGCTAGATAAGAGGGCAACCAAAAAATTTTGCATTGCAAGTTTTTTCTAAACCAGACCCCGTAATCTTTACATTACGAGCAGCACAGGAGCACAAGGAATGATAGATAGATAGATAGATAGATAGATAGATAGATAGACAGTAATCCCTCTTTTAGTCCCCACTTTGTCCCTGTGTTGCCCTAATATATTAAGAAGACAATATGGAATGAGCCATTGAGACCTCTAATGAAAATTGTCAATATTCAAACGTGTGTGCACACTGTTAATTGCGAAAGGCAACATCCCCAAGGTGCTGTGAAAGAACTTTTTACTTGGGTCTTGCTACTAAAAGCCTCATTCATCAGTGTAGTATGCAACAGAAATTTTCAGCAAACACAAGCAGATAAGTCCTGGATAAATAGTTGAGGAGGGGGAGGGAGGGGGGATGGCGTTTTGTGTTCTTGTCGCAACAGTTAAACATGGTCTTCATTGAGGTAACCTAGATCTAAATCGAGACATTTGCGATCTCCACGTTGCTACTTTGATACGATTAAGTTGGGCTTACAAATCTCCGCATTGAACATTTTACATAGCTTAGCCAACGTACACTCGTCGATTTAATTATGTCAGTTCTTCACCGTTTTCTTTCCAATGATCGTTTCTTATTCGCGTTTCCATACTCTGGATGCATTGTGGAGTCACTGCACCCGAATACGAGGAGAGAAAAGAAATGTTAAAAACGAAGTGTGGTGGTACGCGCCGGCGTCTGTGAGCAGACTTGGATCAACTAGAACAGGCGCCGTTAACAAGAAGCAACGATGTCCACGCGCTAGAGAAGTTCGCTGACCTTGTTGGAATCACAGTGATAAAGTTACAGGCTGAGAAAGAAAACGGCGAGTTAGGAGATGGAACTATTCACAGCTTGCTGGTAAATAAGCTGCCCGATCATCAACTAAAGAACTTCAGTCGCTGGTTAAAAGAACGCGCCAGACAAAGATCAGTCATAGTTTTCAGAGAATGGTTGAAAGACCAACACAGATTCAGACTAGGAGAAGCGGAAATGGTAAACGGGATGGAGTCAAACTGCCGAGCACGTTGGACTACCGAGAGTATCGAGATACCACGAACAGAACAGGATGCGAAATTTGCATACTGTTGCAATGGGGAAAGTGGCGCGTAGTACGAAGCGTCCATGTTCTATCTGTTACAGATTCGATCACGGGGTATGGGATTGCAGGGAGTTTTACAACAGAGGAGTGGATGACCGCTGGAAGATCGTGAAAGAAAGAAAGCTGTGTTCTCGTTGCGTAGCCTCTCATCATAAGGGGAAAGAAGGCCTGCAAGTGTGGAATACATGGTTGCTCTAAAAATACCCACGACCTTCTTCACGGAGGTAAAGTTTTTGTCAGAGACCGGACCGATGACAAAGTTTCCTCATGTTGACGATTAGAGACGCCCAGATTTTCCATGGGAGGGAGCGCCCGCTGTGATCCTGACCAGCTGTAATGTACAAACACTGACTGAATCTTATTCTTCACGAACTGTCCCTGTGTGGATGAAGGTCAATGGTAGAAAAAATACAAACGCCATTATGGACGAGACATCGAGCGAAACTTTCCTAAACGGAGAGGTTGCTGGGGTACTGGGAGAAGCCATTAAGTATTGGTAAAAGCTGCTTCGAAAGCCACTTACGCCGTTGAAGGGAAACGAGATGTAAACCATGAGGAGCTGATCACTGTGTTCTCTGGTATAGAGTCCTTTTTAGTTTCCCGTCCGTCGACTTATCCACGAGACGATGTTCCATTGACATCTAATTATTTCTTGCACGGCCAAATGGGGGAAGGGTTGCTGAGTCCGTTGAAACTACTGATTTGCATCAGCATTATTTCGCGAGTGTGGAGGAGATGGCGCATGGAGTTCGTTCGAGCCCTTACTTAAAAGACGACAAACGTGGACTTCAGAATTCCGAGACCTACAAGTTGAGGATGCAGTTCTTTTGATTCAGCCCAATACTCCAACAGGACGTTGGCCATAAGGAAGGATTGTTGAAATGCATCCTGGATGAGATGGCCACACCCGTGTAGCTAAACTTGCGTGTGGTGCCCAGACTTTTTTGAGACCAATAACAAACTGGTTCAGCTTGGAAATCATTGTAAGTTACTTATTAAGATACCCACCAAGACTACCTCCCAGTGTGGGAGGTGGTAAATGTTACAGAAACAGTTACTGAGCTTGTGCGCGTCCTTTGAAATTTCGTAAGTTCTAAAAAATTTCGTCGCCAAGTCATGCGGACGATTTTCGCGTGTGCAAGTTTTAGGGAGCTAAGAGTTGTGATTTTTTGTTGAATCGCAATTTTTCGAGGTTGTTAGTGTTTTTTTTTTTCATCGTGTTATCATGTTACAGTTTTATTTTTCACTCAATTAAACGTGCCGTTCTTAAGAGATTTCCGTTTCCGCTTCCAAACAGATCTATTGCTCCAGGGTTGCACAAATTTTGAAATACTGAAAATTTAGATATTGAGCTCACGCGCGCGCTTTGTAATTTCGTAAATTTCGTAAGCAAGTCATACGGACGATTTTCGCGTGTACAAGTTCACTTTAGGATCAGAATTAACAACCGACACGCCACTTTCCTTTGTCGAATGTGAGCAGCAGAATCACTCAAACGATCAATAACAGGATACCGTAAAGGTAAAACTCCCTCAGCCCGATAAAGTATTCTTTGCTCCATCGTTTCCGAAAATGTTCGGAAAATGTTCGGAAAATGTTCGGAAAAATGTGAGTTTGCTGAGGTGTCGCGCCTTCCGTTGTAGTTTGGAGGCGCAATCTTCATCGTCGCTAAGCTCTGTCCTATCAGGAAGAGTGTTCAGGCGTCTCTCAATCACCAAGTGCGATGGTGTTCTTCATTGAGCAATCCCTCTACTTCAATTAAGACTGTAAGAAGTTCTTTGTATGACACCTGCGCCTTCCCAAGTACCTTGCGAAAGCTTCTCTTTGACTAGCTAGATCATACACTCATAATATCCTCCCCACCATGGCGCTTTCACTAGAATGAATTTACAAGTGATGTTTTGGTTGGTGGCAAAATCTTGGGCTTTCATGTCTCTGAATAGCTGGGTAAGGTCTATGTTGGTTCCCTTGAACGTTTTGGCGTTGTCAGATGTTATGGAGGCTGGTATTCCTCGTCTTCCAGCAAATCGTTGAAGACCTCCAATGAACGCTTCTGAGGATAAGTCTGGAAGGTGCATCACTGTGGACGTAGCACATGTAAACAGGCAGATGTAAGTTCTGGCTGTAACTCTGGTAGTCTTCGTAAATAACAGGCCGCCGAAATCAACTCCCACGTGCGTGAACGTAGGGATATCGGTGACCCTTGTTTCGGGTAGATCAGCTCTTTTGGGGGCCTTGTAAGGCAAACCTAGTTTCTTGCAGATAACACACTGATGAGGCGTTTTCTTCAGAAGTTGTCTGCCCTTGAGAACCCAGAATTCACTTTTCAGCTCTACGAGAGTTTCTCCTACTCCTCCATGATTCAACCTTCGGTGACAGGGTTACACGATCAGTCTTGTCACGTGATGTCGTCTTGGTGAGAGAATAAGGTAACGCACTTGGATGTCCAGTGGAGCGTTCCCCAGTCTGCCTTTGCACTTCAGAATTTTACCATCTTTGCTGAATAAACCGCGTTGTTGCTTTAGATTCTCGAAATTCTTTTCGTGCTTCATAGGTTCCTGTATTTCGCGAATCCGTAAGCTCTTTGCTTCACTGATCTCTTCTACCGTCAGGGTTGGTTTTTTATTTTGCGGTTCTCTTCTCCGGTTTCTCGCTACCTTTACATTTCTGATAAACTTTAGGATGAGAGCGGTGACTCTGAAGAGTTTCGTTGCATTGCTGAACTGTTCGAAGTCAATTGCTTCACTCAACTTTATGGTCTTGATACGCATAAGCTCTTTGGTCAGAATAACTGTAATTGTAGCTGCATGTGCCACATTCTATGAGTTACGTTCCCTTTCTTTAACTTCTCTGAAACATTCTTCCGTAAGCTCTTCGTCACTGACTGCTCCACTTCGTTTGGTAGAAATTGCAATATCTCGGAGAGGTTCCGTTTGCCATCTTTAATTTCACGGCCCACGAAAAGGCGGACATCATCGGAAATTTTGGTCATAACTACGGGCTGAACCACTTCCACTTTCTTCTTTATG